CAAATTGAGGTCACTCTATTTTGGCAACAATCTTTCAGTACAGTATAATCAAAAGCAACAGTTCGTCAAAGATTAAAAAAATCCAGTTTGTCGCCTGAAGTGAGTTTGAAGCTTGTTTCCACTGACGCCAAGCTTTAGATTCTTCTTTGCCAAAAACTTACGAAAAGCTGAATTGTCCATGGCGGCTCGATAGGCAGGACGTCCTGAAAACAGAACCAGCTTAGCATTTTTTTTACAAATTTTCAGTGCATACCTGTAGTTGTAAGGCCAACATATTGATAAATCTGTCGGGTTCCTGTGGGCGTGTTTTTATTTCGGGTCACTACGCTCATCGATTCTGGTCGGATGTTTTGCTTATAGTAACGTCGATAGAGTCTGTGACCAATCCTTGCACCTAAAATTTAAAAAAACTGAACATAATGAACAATAGGTCGGAACAAGCCATGGTTAAATACGTCATTCATCCATCTACAGTCGTATTTAAAACAGTGCAGAATATGCTCTATACTGGTCGGAACTCCATTACAGATCGAAATGTCAGCAGGGGCCTGCGGTGTGCTTTAAAATAAAGCTCGTTCTGCTGTATGATTAAATAATTATACACAAAAATCCACGCGCTAGAGACAGGTGATCAAAAAATACGAACCACTTGGAAGAGTCAGCTCTTCACATACATCCTCATCTTCGTAAACTGGTCGACCTTCTTCTTCTCCTTCACTATCGGTGGTGTACCAACTTTCATCTGATTCACTTTCATCTGACGTAGCTTCTCTAAAAAAAGCATCCTTAGACAGGCGAAATTTAACTGTAGCAAGGCATTTACTATTAGTTATCAAAAATTCAATAACGTCTGCTATGAGGTTCACTCGCCAAAACAACTCCGTCAATAATCCTAAAAGATGTTCACATTTTGCCTTGGCTTGTTTGTTCTCGAAGGAAGATGGAACAGTTAGTATGGGAATATTATCAAGAATCCATCTTGCTCGTTTTCAGTAGGCATGTATCAGAAGTAGCTCATAAACAGTCCACTGACATTCCCATGGTACGATAAATAGCTTACGAACAATTGAAACACAGCAATACAAAGATGTGACTATTACAAAGCTTATGAATCCTGATGCTATACTGTTCACTATATATTTCGAACTTTAAATTACCTAATTTTCCACTGCTTTCGACAAATAAAACCACGGCCCCCATGTCAAAAAAATGAAACAGAATCTACATAAGGAATCATAAAACAACGAAAGACGGCGGAACGTACCTTCTTTTCACGAGGATCAGCTATCAACATTGAAAAGGTCGGCGAAGGAGGCTCTGATAATCAGGGGAAGAGAGAATTTTAAAGCAGATCTGTATAAAAATTAAAATTTTAATTTCG